CAATATTGCTATATTGCATCCATATTACTAAATTATTTTTTCTAAAGATCCCATTCCAATCTATTAAAATAAATAGTGGAATCTATTTCATCCAACTCTTAATATTCACTACAGCTCAATATTTTGCAGCTAGTTATTATACTCTGGGCTAAAATATACTCTTATTGATTAGTTATAAATAATTCTTGTTCAGAAATCCATTCTGAACATTTAGGTTAAGATTTAATGATCTCACTTTTTCTCATATACCATTAAATTTTACACAAACATATTAATTTTGATGTTGTTGGTTCTTTTATTGATATAATTTATTTTATGGTTCCAACATAATCCTCATCATGTTGATCTCCACTATTAATTAAAACTGAATCTCCAACACTTATAATCTATCCCTATACCTTAATTGTATCATATTCTTCTTATAAACCTTTTGTTTATGAACCAACTTTGACTAATGTTTTCCATGACTTTTATTTGTAAAGTTCTCTAATTGTCTATCGTTTCTATAATCTCTTGTAAATTTGTTTTTTTATTGTTGCAGAACTCTCTGGTGACTATCTTTTTATTAACCTACTATAATCTGCCACCTAGCTACAATACTAAGATTTTATCATATTTTATTTAAATTTCTAAAAACACTTAAATTTCTCAAATCGCTTTATAATAATTTAATTAAAATTTATTATTATACATTAAATTTCTGCTTATTCTCAATCTTTGAGTTTAAGTGAAAAATAAATTAACACTAAAATTCAATTTTTAATTAATTGTTGATTAATAATTTTCTATATTGTTTTATTATATAATATACAAAATTACAATTTAAATTGTTCCATATAGAAGTATGAAAATTAATAAAAGAATTCTTATTGGGTTTCGATGAATGAATAGTATAAAGGTATATTTAATAATACAATAAGTGAAATTAAAAAAGAAAAACTATTAATAACATATAAATTTATCATAATTATTATATTAAGAAGTGTTTAAATAAAATTTCATTAATTTATGTAAAGTTATTATTTCTAAATAAATTTATGATAAATCAAGTCTTTTTTTTTGGTCTAATCTAATCAAAAACCTCTAATTAACTAAATTCCAAATGTTAAAAATATTTTTCTTTTATTTTTTTAACTAATTAATTATCCTTTAAGGCTGAATTTAATTTAACATAATTTCTTGTATCAATATAGTTTTATACTTCTAACATTTATTTCTCTAGTTGCTATTCATCATTTATCAGTTCCTCTGTTAAAATCATAATTTATTTACATTAAAGGAATGATTTATATCTCTACATTAAATCATTAGCTTATATCTTGTTTGTTAAATTTAATCTTAATTAATAATGTGTTGTTTTAACATTTTTTTTATTAATATCATTTTGAGATTACTAAATTTAATCATTATTTATTCTATCAGGCTCTTTATTCTATTTATTCTATTTGTTTTATTTTTATATTTAATTTTATTCAAATTCTGAGAGTCTTATAGCATATGTTTTAAGTTTAAAGGCTTTGATCATATTGATAAGTGAAAAAAGGATCAGGAATGATTAATCATTCTCATTAAAACTTTTTTGAAATGATTTAATTTAATCTTATGAAGGAATTTTGTAACTGAAGTCTTTAACTTAATCCTACAAATCTTTGAATTCTGATTGTAATATATTTATTTCTAAATAAGAAGATTTTTGCATCCCTTAAATTTACCCTTAAAATCCAATTAACTTTTTATTTAATTCAACTATATTTGATTATTTGTCTATCCAATCTTTTTATTTTTAATTTTAATTTTCTAAATCATAAAAATTCACTTTTTTTTAAGATTATTCAATATCACGAATTGTTTCTGATAATTGTTAAAATTTTTCATTCATTTTTTTTTCAAATATCTTAATAAGTGATTGAAAATCTTATTATGTTTATTATCTTTATTAATTTTTATTTTATTGAGGATATTTTTCTTTTATTATCGAGATATTTTTTTAATATATTTCTTAAGAACTTTTCACTTCATTAAATAATTTCTGGAACTCTTCTTCTTTTTTTTTATGGTTTTCTATTATATGTTAATAATTGTAATTTTTAACATCAAAGTTAATAAATTCAATTTATTATTTATTAAAATCTTAAGTTAAAAATTATAATTCATCTTTCAATTTTTAAATTTATTAATCCGTATCAGATTGGAATTATTTTAATATTAAATTAGATTAATTCTTTAAATCTATAATTTGATTTCTTAATTAATGTTTTTAATATTCTAATTCAATTTAAATAGCATTAGATTCTTCTTTTAAAGATTCAAGCATTTAACATTATAATAAATCTTATTTAGCCTTTGATTATATTTCATCAAATCTTTTTTTAGCTATTTCTTAATATTTATTTACTTCAATTTATTTTTCTTCTAAAAGATTTTTGATTGAGGAATTTTCTGATTAGTTAAAATTTTATTGAATTGTGCTTAATTCATTTTTCAGATCTTATATTGATTCTTAAAATTGATTTGATATCTATTGTATATTTATAATGAATTCAACATATTTTTTTGTCATTATGTTGATTTTGATTTATTATTATTGTTATTAGTATAATATATCTGATAAATCTTTAATATGATGCTCTTCTTATAAATATTTCTCCTTAATTAACATGTACTATTTTATTGATTAAGATATTTCACTTTCTATTAATGTATTTAATTAATTATATAATTATTTAATATTCTGTAATCTCTCTTATAATAAATTTAAGATGTTATCTTGTTATTCATTATCTTCTTTTTTTTAATTTACAATCTTAAATTCTATTTCATCTACTTTTTCTTCCATTCCCTACAGGTATTTTTGCATTTCTTATTTTAATTCCACTTCATAATTTTCAAGATAATTTTTCATTAATTTAATATCGACTTCCAATTTTTCTAATAATTTAATGATCTCTAATTATTAAGTTTGTAAGTAGTTAATTAAATTTCTAGATACTGTATTTTCTTATTATTAATAAAATATTTTAAGGTTATTTAAAGAACAGACAATAAAATCTGAATGGTTTTTTAATAATCTAAATTGATCATTTATATTTTGATTATATATGGAAAAATTTTCACATATTATTTGAATTTATTACATTTAACCTAATTATTAATTGAAGTTCGCATTTAATTAATTATATGTTAAGATTTAATGACTCAAATCATCTTGTATTTATTTTTCTTCTTATTACTATATTTCCAATAAAACTTAATTTTTTTATTCTTTGAATTAAGAAATCATAACAGATTAAATTTATTATTAAATCATTTAATATTCCTAATCGTGCATTAAGAATTAATTTTTATATTAATTTTCTAATTCTACTATAAAATTAAGTTATTTATTTTGATCCTAATTATTAAAATTAACCAAATTCTCCTTTATTTAAATTAATTAATTTTACTTTTAGCTAATAAAATTCTATATTTAATTCAATATTTATTATTTTTCTTTATCATTTAATACAAGATCATTAATTTCTTGTTTTTATTTATTAATAGATATCAAATGATTATTAATAACATCTTGTAATAAATTAATAATACAATTTAACGATTATTTTCTAATATTAAATTCATTTTTTTTATTATTATTTTCTATTTGTATTTAATACTCTTAATATTTCTTATTTAATTCTTATTAGTATTATTTCTATAATTCATTTAATTATTATTTATTTTCTTCATTCTCCTTTTATTTTGCTTTAAGTAAATACTCCTATAATTTATTTTCTTGTAATTAAATTTCTTATTTCAGTTTTTATTAATATTATTATTATAAATCTTTTAACTCTGATTTCAATTTTTGAATTTCATTATTTTACTGATTTTTATTAGAAATTTCAATCATCTTCCTGATTTCATTTTCCTTATTCATAATTTGTTATTCATATTATTACTTGAGCAACAACTTCTGTTGTGCAATTTCATTATCTTAATTTACTTTCATTTCTCTCTAAAGTTATTCATATTTCATTTAATTATTATAAGTTATTTATCTTTCTTTCTCTTAAAAATCTTATTCAAGTTTTATTTTTATTTTTGCTTCGATCTTCTATTATTTTATTTTTTCAAGAGCTAACATTATTTTTTCAATAGCATTTTCCAATTAAATTCTTTTCTAGAGATCAATGCAAATCATTTCTTTCATAATTTCTCTAAATTCTACATAACATTTATCTATTTTATTGATTTTTTCATCAATTAATTCTTATTTAATTATAGATATCTAATGAATAATGTTATGTTTAGAAATACCTTGAATAAATCATTTATTACCTTGAAAAAATGTTTAGAATGTGAGTATTTCATACCAGATAGTTCCCATAGCCCAAATATCGACTTGTTTTGTATACATTACAGAATTAATAACATCTTATGCCATATAGTATGGAGTTCCAACTCCTAATGTTTATCTACCTATATCTGATTGATCTTTAGAGCAGCCAAAATCAATTAATTTGATTATTAATTTATTGTTACTATCACGACAGCAAACAAAGTTTTCTGGTTTTAAATCTCTATGAAAGTAGCCTATTTAATGAAATTAATAAACTCCTTAAGCCATCTACAATATAGATTGATTTATTTACTTATAAAAATAATTCACTTCTTTCATCAACATCATATGTTTTAAATTGATTTGTATTCATAAATTAAAAAAAATCCATTTCTGCCAACTCCATCACAATAACAACTTAATTATTTAATTTTTCAACAGCATAAATTCCTATTAAATATTTTTGTTTATGAATCTTTAAATGTTATAATATTTTCTCTTCTCTTGGATTTATTTCTGTCATTATTTTTATTGCCACTTTTTAATTATTACTTCTGATAAATCCTTAATATACACTACCTTAAGCACCAGATCCTAATTTAAATTAGATTATAATTTCCATTTGATGATGTGGTAGCTAAATCAAATTCTATTAAAGGAACTTTTGATTTATCATAAAAAATCAATAATCTATTATAATTAATTACNTTTGAATTTCATTATTTTACTGATTTTTATTAGAAATTTCAATCATCTTCCTGATTTCATTTTCCTTATTCATAATTTGTTATTCATATTATTACTTGAGCAACAACTTCTGTTGTGCAATTTCATTATCTTAATTTACTTTCATTTCTCTCTAAAGTTATTCATATTTCATTTAATTATTATAAGTTATTTATCTTTCTTTCTCTTAAAAATCTTATTCAAGTTTTATTTTTATTTTTGCTTCGATCTTCTATTATTTTATTTTTTCAAGAGCTAACATTATTTTTTCAATAGCATTTTCCAATTAAATTCTTTTCTAGAGATCAATGCAAATCATTTCTTTCATAATTTCTCTAAATTCTACATAACATTTATCTATTTTATTGATTTTTTCATCAATTAATTCTTATTTAATTATAGATATCTAATGAATAATGTTATGTTTAGAAATACCTTGAATAAATCATTTATTACCTTGAAAAAATGTTTAGAATGTGAGTATTTCATACCAGATAGTTCCCATAGCCCAAATATCGACTTGTTTTGTATACATTACAGAATTAATAACATCTTATGCCATATAGTATGGAGTTCCAACTCCTAATGTTTATCTACCTATATCTGATTGATCTTTAGAGCAGCCAAAATCAATTAATTTGATTATTAATTTATTGTTACTATCACGACAGCAAACAAAGTTTTCTGGTTTTAAATCTCTATGAAAGTAGCCTATTTAATGAAATTAATAAACTCCTTAAGCCATCTACAATATAGATTGATTTATTTACTTATAAAAATAATTCACTTCTTTCATCAACATCATATGTTTTAAATTGATTTGTATTCATAAATTAAAAAAAATCCATTTCTGCCAACTCCATCACAATAACAACTTAATTATTTAATTTTTCAACAGCATAAATTCCTATTAAATATTTTTGTTTATGAATCTTTAAATGTTATAATATTTTCTCTTCTCTTGGATTTATTTCTGTCATTATTTTTATTGCCACTTTTTAATTATTACTTCTGATAAATCCTTAATATACACTACCTTAAGCACCAGATCCTAATTTAAATTAGATTATAATTTCCATTTGATGATGTGGTAGCTAAATCAAATTCTATTAAAGGAACTTTTGATTTATCATAAAAAATCAATAATCTATTATAATTAATTATTACATACAATCCAATAAAAGACATAAATTCAATCGAAGATTATTAAATTTTAAATCAATTTTGTAAAAGAGAAGATAAGATAAGATATTCAAAAGTCTCAATCATATTAAATTTAACCAAAATAATATTTTTTGTTTTTTTTGAATCTATTTAATTGAAAACCAAAGGTGATTTCAAACTCTTCAGACTTTTCTATGTTAATAACAATTTTTGAAATTTATTATCTATTATATTTATTAATCATTATTTTTTTGATTTTAAAATTAGACTAATATCTTATTATTTGCACTTATAATAAATTAAAAACTAAACTTATTATATTTTGGATATTTGATAATCATGTCTACATACAATGTATATATTCCAAGTAATTAATTTTATTATATTCATATTCATATTCATTATGCTATTCTTGAGTTCTTCATTTGAATTAGAATCCTCTTAAAATTTTGAATTCGATATTTATCAATATCTCTACCAAATACTTCTATTAATTTCTTTCTTTTTCATTCCACAATAGAAATGCTGTTATTTTAATTCTTATTTGATTTTCTGTATAATTTTTCATAAAATCTGTTTTGATTTTTTATCTCTAAGAAATCTCCTTACTATATTCATCAAATTGATATATTATAATTAATAATATTTTTATTAATTTTTTAAGACTATTTAGATACATTTAAAATACTATCACAATCTGTTGATATAGAGTCATTTTCAAGGATAATTTTGTTTTTCATAGAAATATTCTAGATCTTTTTACAAGAACATTTATGTTTTCATTCAAATTAAAAACCTTTTACTTATTGAAAATCTTTTCCATAACTATGATCCAATTTTTTCTTTTAATATTTTAGTTTGAGATTAATAATTAAAGAATCTTCTAATTAGATAAATATAAGATATGTTATAATACTTTTCATATTCAGTTAAAATATATATGATTGAATATTTTATATGTATTTTTTTTAATATTTTAATGAAAATCAACTCATTATTTGATTTCTTCATTAATTCTTCTCTTTCCATCTGGTGTAACTCTGAGGGATACAATAATTTTAACCTTTTATCCTCTTTCTAATGTTTATGTTAAGGTTTCAATCTTTTAGATTGTAGCAAGACCTATTATGAGAAGATAAGTGATTACCCTATCTCTAAAGAGTTTCAGCACATCTGACAGCTCCTGATATAGCATCTCCAAGAGCATGAATTTCAACTTCATCAAATTTCTTTAAAAAGATCTTGGAAACGAAGAATGATGTTCTTGGTTTTGCAGAACCTCTCAATTAAAATACTTTGTCTTTAGGGTCGATTGGATTTTTCTTCACTTGATCCATTGTTGTTGATGGTTATTAAGAGTAATATTAAAAAAAATTTGCTTTCTTAATTAATTAATGATTTACCACATAATTAAATAAATTAATATGCCTGATCTCATTTTATATAATTTGATTAAGAAATTTTAAAGAGTTTTAAAATGAAATGGAAATGAGATTTTAAATTCATATATGTATAACTTCAAATTATTTCTTGGCTTTAATCTTATTAGCAAATTGCTTAACTCTATTGTATTGAACAATTGGACATAAATTTTTAGTAATATCATTCTAATATAAATAATATAATATACAATTTTAATATTAAGTTTAAACTATGATTGTTTTGGTTCTTCATTTATTAAAGTATAAATATTAGAAATCAGATTTTCCATGTCATTATTGGAAACTAGATTTGATTCTACTTCTACTTTTAAACTTAGCTGTTTCTTTTATAATGCTTTATTATTTTATAATTATATTTATGATTATAATTGTTCCTTTTTAGATCTGAGTAAATCTTGGAGTTTTATAAAGTATTTCTGTTCAAGTGTTTTCTGGTTGAATTAATAGAAATAGCAATTATTATGATGTTTACTAGTTATAAAATTGGGATCTTTAATGAAATTCTATAAATAGTGAATAAAAGTATACATCTAAGATTGTTTTTTATTTATTCAATCTAATTTATAAAATTCTCACATTTAATTGATTGCATTCCTTAGACAAATGTCTGATCTTTGAATTTATCTAGGAANAAGAACATTTATGTTTTCATTCAAATTAAAAACCTTTTACTTATTGAAAATCTTTTCCATAACTATGATCCAATTTTTTCTTTTAATATTTTAGTTTGAGATTAATAATTAAAGAATCTTCTAATTAGATAAATATAAGATATGTTATAATACTTTTCATATTCAGTTAAAATATATATGATTGAATATTTTATATGTATTTTTTTTAATATTTTAATGAAAATCAACTCATTATTTGATTTCTTCATTAATTCTTCTCTTTCCATCTGGTGTAACTCTGAGGGATACAATAATTTTAACCTTTTATCCTCTTTCTAATGTTTATGTTAAGGTTTCAATCTTTTAGATTGTAGCAAGACCTATTATGAGAAGATAAGTGATTACCCTATCTCTAAAGAGTTTCAGCACATCTGACAGCTCCTGATATAGCATCTCCAAGAGCATGAATTTCAACTTCATCAAATTTCTTTAAAAAGATCTTGGAAACGAAGAATGATGTTCTTGGTTTTGCAGAACCTCTCAATTAAAATACTTTGTCTTTAGGGTCGATTGGATTTTTCTTCACTTGATCCATTGTTGTTGATGGTTATTAAGAGTAATATTAAAAAAAATTTGCTTTCTTAATTAATTAATGATTTACCACATAATTAAATAAATTAATATGCCTGATCTCATTTTATATAATTTGATTAAGAAATTTTAAAGAGTTTTAAAATGAAATGGAAATGAGATTTTAAATTCATATATGTATAACTTCAAATTATTTCTTGGCTTTAATCTTATTAGCAAATTGCTTAACTCTATTGTATTGAACAATTGGACATAAATTTTTAGTAATATCATTCTAATATAAATAATATAATATACAATTTTAATATTAAGTTTAAACTATGATTGTTTTGGTTCTTCATTTATTAAAGTATAAATATTAGAAATCAGATTTTCCATGTCATTATTGGAAACTAGATTTGATTCTACTTCTACTTTTAAACTTAGCTGTTTCTTTTATAATGCTTTATTATTTTATAATTATATTTATGATTATAATTGTTCCTTTTTAGATCTGAGTAAATCTTGGAGTTTTATAAAGTATTTCTGTTCAAGTGTTTTCTGGTTGAATTAATAGAAATAGCAATTATTATGATGTTTACTAGTTATAAAATTGGGATCTTTAATGAAATTCTATAAATAGTGAATAAAAGTATACATCTAAGATTGTTTTTTATTTATTCAATCTAATTTATAAAATTCTCACATTTAATTGATTGCATTCCTTAGACAAATGTCTGATCTTTGAATTTATCTAGGAATATGAAATAATATGTTACTTATATAAACTGTAGTATATCTTAATCTTCTAGAAAGGATGAAATCATTAAAATAATGTGTTCAAGATCAAGAACTCTTTATGGATTAGTCAAAGGAGCAACAGAATTGCCATAAGCAATTTAATTGAAATATTGTTGAATTATAGAGTTCATTATTTATATATAAATGAAAATGTTTTCAATTCTTAACTAATAATTTATCCTAAATTAGATTTTTATAATTATTTTATTTCATCATGTACATTTTTCAATATTCCATCTAATACTCTATCTTATCTTTATTATTATAATTATTGCCAACCTTTACATAATATTAACAAAATTTATGAAATATTAAGATAATTTTATTTCCATTCTTTAAATAATTCCATTAATATTTTACAAGTACTAGTTTAAATATCTCTTAATTATTTATTTCTTTATAATTTTAATTGTTCTTATATTTCAACCTACCTTTCAATTTATAAGACAATAATATCATCATTCTCCTAACAAATATGAATTAATTATTTTGATAGATTAGTTAATTCTTGCATTATATTTTATGAATAATCTTTTTGAGATTCTCCCTTTATATTAGATTCATAAATATATGTTTATGATAATCTCATATCATGAATATCAGATACCAATCTATCTAACAATTAACATAATAAAATAGAATTAGATTCCAATTTACTTGTAGTATTTTATAAACCATCTTCAATAATCAATTCAAATTAATTGATTGGTAATTTGAGATCAACAATAAATTAGTTTAATGAACTAAAAATATCATCTTATTAATTATAAGAATAGTAAACAATCACTAAGAAATCTTTTAATTTTTGCCATAACATCTGAATTTTTAAATTTCCACTTAAACATTGAAACTATAATTATAATATTAATTATTTACATTATTAATGAAATCAAGAGTATTATTTGAATATCCTTGATTCAATAATTAATCTAATAAAGAACAAATATCATCAAGTTCATAATTAGGTTGTTATTTTTTTAAATCTGAACTAAAATTAGTTTATCTTTGATCAATTCTATAAGAATTCTTGCAACTAAAACTATCTCTAGGAATATAGGAAGAATATCTATTTGTAATAAAATGATTTTTTAAACTTACACTCCCTTCCTATGTTCGTGAAGTAACAGTATTACTAAAGTTAGTATTACAATTATAAGATTTCCTAAGTGTTTCATTTTCCCCTTAGATTCTTTCTAAATCTTATAAGGATTTAGCAAATAATTAAGTAAGAGATGCTATTTGCTGATTCATTTCTTCAATCTAGTTTGATTACTGTATAATTTTGTTATTCATTTACTAACTTAATTCTAATAATTCTAATCTTTGTTCATTAATATCACTGTATTCTTTCTTTTATTATTCTAATTCCTAAATTTAGTTTTGCATATTTTCAATCTTTATATTTTAATTGTTTTAAAGATTCATATTAAATATCTGGGTTGTTTAATTGAATTCCATAAGTATATCAATTAATTTATCTAAATCATTTACATTATTAAATTCTGTATTAAAAGTTTTAGCTAATTGAATAATATTATTAAGATCAATTTAAGTTAAATTATTTTAGAGAATGTGTTGAAAGGCAATTTAATATTTTGAAACTCTAATCTCTAATTATTAGAGTACATCAGTATAGAGATTAATATCTTAATAATATTACTATTTATATGCATCCATTTAAGAACAAACGTAATCAATTGTTTATTATAATTATTGACATTTTTCTAAACTCTAATTTTACATATTCTACCATAAACAAAATAATTCTTATTCTCTTTCAATTTATTTATCTAAAAATTCTTTCATGCATTATTCCTTAAAATAAACAAGAAAGTCTTATTCATCAAGAAAATATTCATTCTATCTTATTTTTTTAATACTACTGTAACAATTTCCATAATTATCATTTTCTTTATCTGTCATTAATAATTTTCTTTTAACTTGTTTATTAATGGCTAATGAATATAAATATTATATAATACATTAAGTTCTTGTAATTTAAGGAGAGAGAGAAGGTACTTTGATTGGTGAAAACAAATCTAATTGTTCTATGTATACATTTTTCATTGATTTATTTAGAAATGAAATTTATGTATTTTGTTGCTATAATTATTCTTACAACTAATTTATCTATTTTTATTATTAAAAATTGCTATTATATTAATGAAATAGATTATACTTTGCCAATTCTTAATCTAATTTATTTTGAGTTTGCAATTACAAATTATTTATCTAATTTAACAACTTTTCTTATTCAAGAATATGTTGATTAATTTATGATTCATAATATTCAATTAGTTGAATGAATTCTTGTATTAAATTATCTTCAAGTTTATCTTTGAATTAATCATAAAGCTCGTTTTCTTTTAAATTCAATTTGTAGTTGTTAAACATATTTTTATTTTATTCAGTTATTAATTCTATGAATTTATATATTAAAGTGTTTTGAGATCACTTAGTATGACTATTATTTATTTAATTGTTATCAATACATATCATATTATTAATACCTTATATTTAATAGTATCAAATAAGTGATCCATAAATGAATATAATATAATAAATAAATTCAATTGATTTGAATTCAAATCAATATTTACACAATATTATTATATTAATAAAAAGTAATAAAAATATAAAATGTAAGCAATCTATTAAATGAGTTGTATAAGAAAACATATATTGAAAAGTAAAACATATTATTTAGAAGTTCATGATAATCAAATGATTTTAAGTGAAGTAACTAAAAATAAATAAATAAATATTTAGCATAAAAATATGTAAAATGCAAAATATGTTGTATAATATATATGGGAAACAAGAGTAATGTGGAAGACATCTGAAAATGAAGAATTATGTGCATTTGGAATTTATTATAACAATCGAATAAAATGGTTTGATTCTGATCATAATTCATTAAACTTACTTAAAATATACTTATCAGCAAGAGTATTTTTTGGGAACATTTCAATATTTTATGATTCAAATTAAATTTTAGGTTAAGGAGCATCTTCAAAGGTTTGTTTAGTAAAATGCAAAAAGAGTATATCACATTATGCTGCTAAATGTATTTCTAAGAAATACTTATTATAAAACAAATCTGATGATAGAATTGTATTAGTTTATTCTTAATTTTAAGAATAGATTGCGATAAGAGATTCAAATCCTATAAAGAATAGATCATCCAAGTTTTGTTAAGTTATACGAAATCTATTAAGGAGAGAACTCATATTATATTGTAACTGATTATTTAGAAGGTCATACTCTTTACAATTACATTAAGAATTATCCAGAAGATCAATTACCATAATATTAAATAAGAGAAGCAATTAAAGTAATCTAAATTCAAATACTAATTAGATAATACTAACAGCTTTGAATTACTTAGATTCAATTAATATTATTCATAGAGATATCAAACTAGAAAATATACTATTATAAAAACCAAATGACATTACATCTCTTAAAATAATTGATTTTGGATTGGCTATATATCAATAACCTCTCTAAAAATTATGTGTATGTGGAACACCTGGATACATAGCACCAGAAATTCTTAAATCTAATCATGATACAGATTATTTTACTTAAAAATGTGATATATTTAGTGCAGGTGTTATCTTCTATAAATTGTAATTAAATTAATATATATATTAAAGATTAACAAAGAAAACCTTATTTAGAGCAGAAAACACTCTTGAAATTATGGAAAAGAATAAATAATGTTAAATTAATTTTTAAGAATTTGAATTCAAATTATAAAAGGAATCTTTGAGCTTATTGAAAGCTATGCTAAATCCTAATCCTAAAACTAGATATTCAGCATAGTAATGTTTAGATCACCCATATTTCAATTGCAAATTAGAAAATATTAATATTCTGCAAGAAATACTAGATAAAGCTACAGGATTCTCAGGAATAACCCAAATTAGTATTAAGTTTTAATTAAATTAGATTATTAAAAGGATACACTTTCAATTGGATAAGAATGCTAAGCTGCTCAAATTAAAAGATGTAATCCAACATCTTATAAGATAAGGATTGAATAACGAAAATAAACGAAAAGTCCTAGAAAGTATGCAGATTTCTAATTCTATTATCCTTCCTTTTGTTAAATGAATTCATTCGAAAGTCTTAGTAGTAAAGGATCATCTTACAATATATCCAATATTGATAATCTTATAAATGATAAACTCGATTCTGTCATTGAAGAAGAAGAGAAACAATAAATATATAAAAAATGAAATACTTACTATTTATATAATTATGATCATAGAATTATTATTCAATTTATATATATTTGTATTCAATACATAGGTTGAAATAAATATATTCATTATAAGAATAGTAAATTATTAGAAATTCTTTAATAAAAAGTATCAATTTATAATAATATTCGTGGTTATATGACTAGGGATATTAATCATATATGTATTATTAGACATAATTCAAAGGATTTTTTTAAATATAAAATCTTATCTTCAAATGAGTATTAATCAAGAAATAGTAAAAGAACACATCGATTTGATCTAAGAAATTGATAACCAATAACAACTCTTAAATTAACCACATTACAGAGATGATGATGAACAAGTACAATAATTTTATAATCTTAGTAAGTTGAACAATATCTAGAAGAAGACTAAGTTCTTGTCTATTCTCCTTATTAACTCTCTTAATTAAAGAAACCAATACCTTAAACTATAGATGAATTTCATCTAGATGAGGATTCAAAAAAGAAAGTGTGTATTGAAGAATGCTCAACCACTGAGTAATCATTAGACCATCATGCAATGGGAGACTTAGAAATACTAGTTGTGATGTTATAAAGAGAAAATTAGAAAAAGTTCTCTTATCCAAAACATCTTCCAATTCCAAATAATGTTGATGAACATTTATCTAATTTAAGAATGAGGTTCTAACCATCCCAAAAACAAGAAGAATTTATATCTACTTATATTAAATCTGATGATATCATAAGAATCAAAATTGGATTATGTGATGAAATTCTTAATGATGAGGAGACACTTAAATTTGAAGATTGGGTATAACAATTATGTACTTTAACTAATCATGAAACATTAAAAGAAATGGCTAGAAAATAGAAAGTAATTAGATATATAGAAAAAAAACATAATCGAACATATGAGAAGAAAGTTCATTATCATATTCGATAAAAAGTTGCTGAAGAGAGATTAAGAGTTAAAGGCAGATTTGTTACATGGACATAAGTATTTTACATCAAAATATTATTAGGCCTTAAAAATGTTGAATCAATAATAAGACACAATAAAATCATGGACAAATAATGATTACTGTAAAATTAAAAATTTACTTAATGAAAAATTTGGAGCTATTAGAACCGAAAGATCCTTAAAAATTTGATTTTCTAACTATATTATTAATATTTTTCGATATTATATTTTATTATTTTACATTATTATGTTCTACTTAAAAAATGAATTAAATTACTATTGTTACTTTAAATACTAAAAAAAGTAAAATGAAATCATTTATTAAAGATTTATATTTTTATTTATAAATTCTTAATAATATTAAATAAGTTTAAGGAATCCTTTATTATTCTTTAAATATTCATATATAAATAATTGTATGCTCTTTTTTAAAGAGAATTATTTTTTTTTCATTAGAATAAATAATCCATTTCATTTTGACATTTTGAATTAATTTAAACTTTCTATATCAAAGAATTTGATACATATATTAGATTCTATTTCTTTGTTCCTCTTCAATAATGAATATCAATTATGTTAGTTCTTCTTGATATAATCTATTATTTAATTAAAATTATGCAAAATTATTACATTTATCTTTAACATCTAATTGCTACTCTTCATAGAATATATTTATTAACATAAATAATTATTTATATATATACAAATCAAATGATTTAATAGTAATTAGATAATCAACCATTCAAATTCTCAACAATCAATTTTTCTAATCCAAACTCTTCCTTTCATAAATATGTTAAAGATGAAGCACAAACACAATAAATGCCAGATTTTAAAATAGATGATAAACAAAGAACTTCTATTTCAACTGAAGAATCGTAAGAGGATTCAGAATCTTAAAAAATTATTAAGAAAGGAAAGATTAGCAAAATTAAAGATAAGGATTAACTATTGCCATAAAAGTCTGAAACTAAAAACATACCCAAAAATTTTGGAGTACTATTAAAGAAATATTTATGTATTCATTACTCCAACATTTTTAGGTAGTAAAAATATAGATAATTAAGCTATCAAAGCTTTCTTAAAGAATGGGGAACATAAGAAAAACTTCTCTAGACAAGATTTTACAAGGTTGTTTAATGATCCTGTTGCAGCAGAATTATCTAGGCAATATTTTTCTGGATTTTAAATTATTCATGACCTTATGATTAGTGAAAAAATACAAGATGTCAAGAACCATATGAAATATATAAGTAAATTTTATAATTCTACTTATAATAAATAAGAGCTAGATGAACTTAAATTATAATGAATATATTTAATTTATATTAATATTGAAAATTCTATTTTTCATAAAATAACAATAGCAAATAAATTAATTTTTCATCTCACTTCATACTTTTCAAAATGAGGCCATTTATCAATGCTACAAGATTCCAGTAGTTTAGTACTCAAGACATAAATATTAAATTTTCTAACTTTTATTTTTCATATTATACTTATTATCTAATTGAATAGGTTTATCAGAAATTATCATTGTTGTCTTATTAGTGACCTATTTACTAACTGTACCTCCAAAATTAATTACTTTTAATTCTAATCTTTTATATTCAAAATCAGTCAATGTATCTTTAACAATATAGATATGTTAATATTATAATGGTTTAAATTATTAATTCATGTATTCGAATAGACTTGTGCCCTTAAAAAAGGATTCTTCTAATGCTTTGTGATATTATACAAAATCTTTATTAATCATAGTTGAATGATACTAAATCATTTCCTCTTATTCTTACTCGACCATTTAATTCTCATTCAAAATTTGAACTTTAATCATATTCTTATTCTCTTCGTTGATTGATTAAAATAATTACTATTTAATTATCTATTTTGGTTATGAGAATCTCTATTGTTAAACTAATGCTTCATCTAATTGTTTATTTAGAGAATCATGTAATTTTTTTTAATTTTATTATTTATTATTGTTATCTTTTTCTTCCTCACAATACATCTCATCAATTTATTTCTCAATTTCAAGTTCTTATTAATCTTATTTTAACAATTCTTTTTTATAATTTTTAAGACTCTCTTCAAATGCTCTGAATAATTAAGCATCTTCACTTTATTTATCAATATTTTATTGTTTTTTTTATTATTAAGTTTTAATAAACAATGATGATTACTATGATTTTTAAACCATTTAAGCACTTCTTTAACTAATTTAATTAATTGGATTTATTTTTATATCAGATTTTATTTATAAGTATTCTCTCTCAGATGATTTATTCAAAGCAAATTATGATTAAATGGATTACTATTTAATTGGAATGGTTTCAGATTAAAATGAATATTATGACATTGCTTAATTTAAACTTGATTATCCAAGAACCTATAACTATTTAATGGATAATTCATTATTCTAACTAAAAAATGTAATTTCTGCATATTAATAAAAATTTTCTTCGAAATCTGGGTTTTGTATTTTTTTAAAAGAGTTTTAAGTCATAAAATTGACTTTTTCTAATTGTTTTTATTAGATTTTTACTTTATCATCTGTATAATTGTATAGAGAAATTTTTACTTAAGAACATGATTTTGTATCTAAATTTAATGACAATTATTTACAAATAATAAATTCCTTGATTTTACAAGGGATTTCAAATTTGATTTCGATTGTCTCATTTGCTTTTGGATTCTGCACTATCCAAATATGGTCATTAGTAGGAAATTGAATATAAGTAATACTATTAGCTAAAGTTTCTCTGTCATTTGTAGACGTAGAAAGAATTTCATATTTTAATGAAGCCATTAAACCGCGTAATAATAATTATTTTATTAAATAAATTAATTAAAAATCAATCCATCTAAGAAAAGAAATATTCTTTATTTGACTTTAGTTTTGTATGTTTGACAACCAATTTATCAATATTTTAAGGTTTTAAAATATAGGATTTATTATTAGATTAAGGAATTGCAGTAAAATAAAAATGATTTTATTACTATCTCGATTGGTTTTTATAAGGAGAGTTTGTCATTAAACTATTATTACCATTATTTGAATTTGTTTAATTATTCATACCACTATGATATTTTGTTAATTGCAATTGTTAATCCATATTCTCTTTTTGAAATTAAAATTCCATATTGGATTGGCTTTATTATTAAATTTAATGGTGTAATTGTTTTATTAATGCCTCTTATTATCTGATTATAATATCTTTATCATTTGTTCCTGTGTGTGAATTTATTTTCTTTTTTGACAAATTTAACTTTGCAACGGCTCAAATCGGGCATTTTTTAAAAATGATTAAATTTGTTTAAACCATGAATCTACAACTCACTTACTTAACTTTCTTATAAACCTTGCATATAGAATTCTTCTGTTTGTATTTGTGGAGAATTATTTACTTTTCTATTTGAAATTGGAATTATGCTAGGGTTATTAATTCCCTCAGAACTTTGTGATTTTTCAAATATTCTAGCTCTTCTTGTTTATGAACTTGAATTTTATAAGTAATTTGATCGTTAGGAATTTTTTGTCCTTTACATGTGATTTAAAATTAATTATATTCCGATATTTACAAAATAGACTCATTTAGCTTTTTACTGTTGAATACTATCACTCTTATTAATATAATAATATAAATAATTGTAAAAAAAATATTATTAATAAATTAAAAAAATGATTAATCCAAAAGAAGAATATAAATAAAAATTCTAAAAGGATAAGCTCCATAAAAACATCAGTTTAAGGAAAGCTGGGAAGTGTGCAGCTTAAGATTACAGACTTGAAAAAATCAAATCATCTCTATTAGTTTAAGATTACCCTGAAGAAGAAAGATAAAAAATTGAAAAAGATCTTCAAAAACTTTAAAAATAAGTCTTGTACGACCATTACAAAGACATAGCTAACAGAATCAAATATAAAGATAATTATTCAATAAACAAACCAGAAAATATCATGGATTACGATTTTCCTTTAATATGAAATTTATTATTGTGTTATAATACTCATCTACTCTGCAAACATAAATATATTTCTTCAGATTTCTTTCTCATTTATATTTTCAAATATACAAAAACATTTAAATATTTTTTAAAAATAAAATAATTGAAACATTTTATGGAGATTATAATTTAATATCATAAATCTAATAAAATATCTAATCTATATTATTAAATTAAGTAAATTCAAGACTCATATTCTTAAATAACCTTCTAGTTATTAGAATAATACTGTAAAACTAAATTTGAATGCCATTTTGGGAGCAATAGTAATAATGATAATTTTCAAATTTACATCAAATCATTTCAGCAGAAAATTGATAAAAGCTATTCGAAAAATTCTTTTTAATAATTATATAATTTCACTTTCATAATAAAAGTTAATTCAATATTTTCTAAACATTATGCTTTTGCAATATATATATCCATTAGTTAGATGATTATAGTATTTTGAATTCTAAAAATTCTTCATATTCATCATTATATATAATTTTGAGATTCAATATCTTAAATTTAATCAACGACATAATAATTTGTGTTATCATTTATCTTGTCAAAAGAAACCATTAAAATTTTACATTTGAGAAATTAATGAAATGGCTTCAGAGGCTTTTATACAAAATCATAATTGTGGTAGACGTTATGAGAAATAAATCGTTAGATTATAGATATGTTCAAAAATCTTTAAAGAAAAATTGATTTGGATTTTTTGTGATATTTATAAATTAATCTTTTAAGTTTATCAGATTATTAAATACTGAAATTATGAAATAGAAGAGAGTAATTAAAGTTGATAATGAAAGACTCAACAAGTTAAAAACAAAAGAATCAACTGCTTGCTTAGACTGGGTACTAAAATAACCTAACATAAACGAACTTTAATCAACATTATAATCGATGTCTTTGATTGAATTGCATATCGAAATAGAAAATGTTGAAATGTAAGGTGTGTGTCATGTTATGTGTAATAATTAAATGCAATTAAAATTTATTTCAATAGCTAATGGCTTATTAATATATTAAGAAACTAATTGTATAGTACTAAGTGACTGTGTAATCTAGAAAAAGAAATTTCATTGCCATCATAATTAACTATTTTTGATCGTAATTTAAAATCACGGAGGAAAACTTATATTAATATTCTCACATCCTATGTCATAGAAAGAATGGTTTAAGATTTTAAAATTATCAGCCAAATAAATTGATTTTCTTAAAAAATACAGAATCTAAGATAATATATGTTTAAATTTTTATTAAATATCTCATAAGAAAAAGAAGAAAAAATATGCAGCCTAAATTATCAATCGTAAAAATTTCAAATTCTATGATTAGTAAGAAATTGTTAATAATTATATTAAAATATTAAGAAATCATAACATCTAAAATGTCTTTCCTATTATTAGTATTTTTGATGATAATGATATACTTTATCTCTTAACTGATTAATTTATAGGTAGTTCTTTTGAATAACTATTATCTAATCAGAAAACTTAGCTTACTCAGGCTGATTTAGCATTTATAATTTTTTCTGTTCTTTAGAATTTGAGAAGTTTATAAGATGAAGATCTTTTTCATGGAAATATAAATTTAGACAATATCATTATTGTAAATTAATCAGGATAGCTGGGAGTCTATGTTATCAATCCAATTTATAAAGTACAGTGTTATGCTTAACTTAGATTTATAAATAAAAATCTATTGATTATTATGTTCACGCTGTTCCTGACTATCTACATGCTCCTGAAATTAAGGAAAATTAAATTCCTTCAGTTTGTAGTGATATTTATTAAATAGGAATTATATTGATGTTAGTTAGCTTTTATGGAATGTAACAAAAACTTAATAATTCTTTTATTTAAAGAATACTTAACAATAAAGAAACCTTGATATCTTAATAATAGGTGAAGTTTTAAAAGTGTCAAGATTCGGATTTTCCATATTTGTTTAGTGCTTGCTAATTAGATTTGATTAAGTAGATGACTGAAAAGGATCCAAATAAAAGGATTTAGGTTCAAGATGCATTAAAACATGCTTGGTTTATTAATACTAAAGATAAAATAAAAATGCAAAAATAAAATTTTAATAGACATTTGCCAAGTCTTAAGACTATTATTGAAATGGTAGAATAAAGTGATTATGATATTAAAAGAAAATCACTTTAAACCACAGGCATAAATTTTATCCATTAAATGGTATCCATCTAAAAATACGAATTCAGTCCTTTCGCACAGTAATAACCAGAATTAAGTCCTCTTAGAAAAACATCTGAAAGCCTAAACGAAGTTATAGATGAAGAACATTAAATTAGCAATTTAATCGATTAGTTGAACAACAAATAATATATTATGTTACCTTCACAATTTAATCATTTCAATTAAACCAAGAATTAATTGAGATTAGTCCAAACTGAAAACAATTTAGACTAATTACATATTTGAGATTATTACGTCAATTCTTATTGATTATAAATTTTATTATAGTAGGGTGATATATTATTGATTAATTAATTTCACTAATTACATGATATAAGATATTCTTTATTCTTTACTATTATTTATATTAACTAGCTAAATTCAGATGCGTGAATAAGATTCATAATATATCCAGCCTCATCCCCACATTCTCTTAATTTTTGCTCAATTAATAAATATTTAAGAAAGCATCATTTACATTTCAAACCCATCAGTTATATACAAAATTAAAAAGCATAGTCAAAAAAATAAATGCAGGAGAAGACATTCAATTCTTGAAGAGCATTAAAAGAAGAATTTCTTAAATAAAATAAATCTTCTGCGCAACAAAAAGTGAAAAAAGTTGTTTAAAATGATGCTTCTAACTATAGGAACCAGATGCTAGTATTGTTAAAAGGAAATTAGATCCTTTAATCACACTTAACCCTAACTCTCCACAAAGAGAATTTAAAACAATTAAGAATTAAGGTAAATTATATATCTGTATATTTTTATCTTAGATGTGGATTATCATATTAAACTATCAATAAATAATTTGCCTAAAATAAATTTAAACTCCTGACCTTAAACCTAATTCGGTTTGCATTCTGAGTATTTTCTAATCTGCATAAGTAATCCTAAAGATTGTCATGAATTTTAGTAATCCAACAGGAGGAGTCTTCCAAAATTGGTATTCACTCATTAATTTTGATGATAGTTTCAATTATTATAATCCTCATTTTGGTATAAGTTTGAATATTTTCAATTATTACGAATATTTTTGTAATTACAATGAATTTAAAGATCTATAATATTCTATTTTTTAATAAATATAATCCATTCATATTATATTAAACTTCTTTATAAAAAATCAATCATCAAGAATGTGTTTTTTTTAATATTAAGCTGTTTTATTTTGCCCTTTATCTCCTTATAATTTCTCCTATTTTTAGGTCTGCCAACCAGTTGTCAAAATACGATATTGACCAATATAAGCTTTTTTTAATTCATTTTTCATTTCGAAAAACTTTTTTTTTTCTGTATCATCAAGTTCATCCTTTTTATTGAACAATTCTTTGAATTAATCCAAATTATTATCCTTCATATAATCTGTTGATTTTTATAATGCTAGATTTCTCAACTTCTTCTCCTTATGTCTTTTTTGCATTTAAATTTCTTTATGTGTTTCTTTTATATCCATATAAATAAAATATTTTAAATTAAATAATTTTATTAGTTTTGAATTGCGATTAGAAGAATTAATTACTCATGTAAAATATATAGCCAAATCTAGTTATTTTATGAATTGTTAATTTTAATTATATTTAGTTTATATTCTTAGTTTTATCTCATGAAAAAGAATGTTTTTTGGACAGATATATATTATGAAATGATTTGATTTATAGCAAGTAAGTATCATTAATTTCTATTCATTATTTCCCTATTCAAACTTGAAAACGATTCCATTTTAACAACTTTAATAAATTAAACTTATTCATTAATATATATAATATTTGAATTAACACTTAAGTTTCTAAAATCATAAGATTAATTGAATAGTCTTGGAAAAAACACAAATTTGAAGTTAAATTTATTAGGTCTAATACATGAAAATAAATTTTACAATTGTTTTTAAAATCATTTTATTCTCAATATATTTCACCAATTAAAATTATTGATTTGCATAAAAAATTAGAATAAAATTTATAATCATCCAATAACATTTTCATAAAAGTCAAAATAAAGTTGTTTTTTTAGATTTTTACTTTAACAAAACAGTTTTAAATAATTAAAGTTCCTAAAAAGAGATAAAGTTTTATATAAATTAAAGAAGAAGGAGATTTAACATAGCTAGTAGCTAGTCTACAACTCAGATATTTTCATGACTAGATTCTTAGATAAGTTAATATAATAATCCAAATTATATATATATATTTACCTCTAACTATAAAATACTAGCAATTAAGTTATATTGATTTGTAAAATATAAATTAAATAATGTTAAATAATTAGTTGTATAAATTCCAAAAAAATTAGTTTACAATTAAAATAACTGAATAATCATTAGCAATTTTAATATATTAAATATATACTTAAAACATAACATCAATTAGCATTTAAAAGTTTAAAATAAAATTAAAATATATTGATTTTATGAAATTATTAAATAATTTATAATATATTGAAATAATTTAAAATAAATTATTTTGGTAAATACATATAACTTGATCATTATTGTAAACGTAATTAAAGAAGGAAAATTAGATTTTATTTTATTTCAATATTAAACTATAAACTTAATGAAATTAAAAAATAATTTAAAAAGAAAATATTCAAAAATTTTCATGAGTCTTTTAGAACTAAACAATTATAATATTCAAATATAAATTATCTTATAATATAACATTTTATTAATTCTTTCACTTTTTAAAAATATATATATACACAAATCGTATACTTATTTTATTTTATTTACTTTCAATCGAATAAGGTAAAAATAAAAATTAAAACATTTTTTTAATATTATATATCATTATATATTATCATAAATATATATAACTTCTATAAATTTATTTAGTTAGATGAAATCTGTAATATAATTTATAATTTCATATCAAATTCTAATAAACACCAAATATAAGCAAATTGGTTCATAATAATAATTAAATTGTAATTAGTTGTGTAATATAAGTAAATTTAGATATTATCAAAAATGAAATTACGGTATGATCAAATATATTTTATTCAGATTAAAAATATTTAATAGTAATTTAAATGATAAATAGAATTATTTCTATGATAATTATTATTATTTTATTAAAAAACTTATTGAATGAAATTATATTTAAATAAAGTACATTAATTTTGAATCATGAAGAAGTTGAATAATTTCTTTTCAGATAAATAGTCTTGATAGGTCTGTGTTTTATGTTATTTTTTTCCTGCAAATTTGAACCTTCAGCCGCAATGGATTTCAATTATGGTTACTAGATATTTTATTATTGATCATTGATTGAAGTATTTAATTCTTTTAATAATTCTCTTCTGCTATTTTTAATTTTTCGCTAAAAATTCTTTACTGCTTAATTATTTATCATTAATTTTGATGTATGCTTTGGCTGGTTAGTTTTTGTAGTTTATTTTAATTATTTTTCTTCGTATTTAATGGTAGATTAATAATACTTTTCCATCAAAATTAAAGAAATGTTATTTTCGGATTCCTTTTTACTACTTAATACTCTTTCTCTTGAAACTTTCACTATAGGCACATCCATCAATTTGGCTTCCTATATACTTAATCTACTTTTAACTGATTCCAATATTTGCATGGAAAATCTATTTTAAGAGCTAATCGGTTGTTCCTTATTAGATATCCTATTTTATGAATGCTATTATGGTTATTTAACTTTAGGGTGAATCTAATATTTTTGAGATTTGCTTCGTTATTTATCAGCCATCCTTTTTTTTTGTGAATGACTTAAATATGGAATCTTTTCTAATTCAAATATTTTGATCTTCTCTTTTAATACATCTAATGCTTTGCTTCCAAGACTTTCCTCAGGTTCTGTTTTACATAATGCACTGCTTGAATAAATTAATGAATTCTGCATAAATAATAAAATAAATATTATTAATATACAAAGTTGGTTTACTCAAAAAATTTATTTTAATGTTCTTTCAAGTTATTCTGAATTTTTCCCGTGAGTTGACAATAAATTTATCAATCTTTATAGAGATCTTCTCATTCTATCAGAAGATAAATGTTCTTTCTTGAAAAACTATTAATTTTCCTTCTGGTATTGTTCTCTGATTGTCATTTCCTATGATTAAATCCAATAAAATACCGATTCGATACTATTAGTTATGTGCTATAATTAATCCAAGGGTAATTGGGTTAGCAACTAGAAGTAACTGCCAAGTTCGAAATCTGGAACTTCTTTAATATTTAAACTGGATATCAGATAGAGTAAGTGAGCTTTGGGTACTACATAACTCCATTTCAAGTGCATTTCAAATAGAATTACAATAATTATCCTTGATGAAAACGATTATTATTGCACTCTCTATTATAACACTTATATGATATCTTCTGCCATCAATTTCTGATAATCCCCAAGTTAAGTTAAATTAAATACAAAAGATTGTAAAGCTAGATCACTAAATGCAGAAACACCTGTACTTTTAATCCTATTTAATAAGGATGATATTATAAGACTTATCTCTAACTTTAGAAATTAATCCTTTAGTTTTAATAAGGCAGTAAGTAATATTGTGGATTCTTTGGGTGTCATATATGAAAAATCTAGATTTTCAGCAAAGTTAGAAATTAATAACTTATAGTAAGTTTTATAGAATTCAATAATTTATCCTAGATATGTTGCTTCTTATTCTAATTCTATATAGAGGAGTCCTTTGAATAAGAATGATATTTAGGAAAACATACAACCAGATATTTTATACTCTGGTTTATATTGTGCAATTGCATTTTTAATGAGTTCTTACCATTTTTTGATGAAGGCTTCATTTTTTGTTAAATTGTTATATCTTAAGAGAGCTTAACCAAAAATATATAGTAATTAAACTTAATATGTAAAATTATATTTTGTAATTCCTTACATAGTAAATTAATTAATAAAGAGCTCCATTAGCTATTCATTAATAAACCCTTATAAACAGGCTTAATTAATGATTGAGATGATATCCTCATTAAAGGAATCTAATTTATTTAGTATAATTTAAGCTAAACATTATTTATTGGTTCTTGACAAGAAAAAGTTATATTAATGTATTTTATCTAAAAGTTCTACCAATTAACTTATTTCTACATCATTTACATTCAAATAAGAGGCCAAAGATGTATTAAATTGAAGACTGTTGGAACAAAAAATGTCATCAATTAAATATTAAAATTTGTTAATGGTAATTTTGGGAGATTCAAATTCACTCATTTCATAGTTAGCAAAAAAGTGGTCTAATTTCCCATATGAATATCTGGTTTAATTTTTGGTCATCATTTTGAACATTCGAATTGTTGTTCTGGTTAATTATGAAGCCTTATTAATCATCAATAATTTAATTAACCAGAATTAAACTGAATAACAATTAATATTCAAAGAATTTTTTTAATATAATTTAATAATCTAGTATGCAGATTGTTGCTAAAATATAATTATTATTTTAATTTATGAATAAAAATAAAGAATCTGGAAAACAAGTTTAAAATAACAAAGTAAATGATTCTAATTCAAATAAAAATAAAGAATTATAAAAGCTTGTTTAAAATAATAAGCATTTTGAATTTTTATCAAGTGGAAAAATTAAATGCATTTTAACTCATCATGAAATCCTACCAACTTTACAAGAATTTAACAATTATCTTAATGGTAGAAGCTATAAGAATGCATTAGAAAATGATATTGAATTTACATAATTTGAACCATATATTGTTTAGCATAAAACTGATAAGTAATATTAATTCATAAAAATTAGAAATAAATTATATTGTAATTTGACCAGATAAAATATTAGTAAAAAGAAATCTGTTGTTCTCAAACATGTAAATGGAAAGAGATACAAATATTATTTATCCAGTAATTCAATTATATCTATATATTCTTAGAGTACTTAGAGGAATAAGCTAAAGAAGAACAATAAAATTAACGAGATAATTAAGAAGATGAAGATGACATTTAAAATGAATTAGAAGAATTGAATAACTTAATAAATGAGGAAGTGGAGGAAGAATAGCCATAGAAATAAAAAAGTGGTATTCTAAAAGGAGGAAAGAAAATAAATAAAAAGAAAGTTAAACCATAATAAGAAGAATAAATAGAAATTGAATAAACAGTATAAACTAAATAGAAGAAACAATAGTAAGATGGTATAGAATAGAAAAAGTTAAAAAATAAATAATAAAAAGCATAAGTAGGATGAAAATACAATGACTTTATTATGTATAATATCAATGTAATCTAATATCATTATTAAAAAATCATGATAATTATTCTTCTTAGCTTTCTTTTCTTTTTTATTTAGATTTTACTTTTTTCTTTTGAAAATCTAAGAATTTTTCAGTTGTACCATCCTGTTACATTTTCTAATGAAATTAAATTTTATTTCTTCAATTTTTAAATTAATCAAATTTTCTACATATAGAGCAAATACAATTGTAGATGCTCCTTCCAATTTTTTCATCAGATGAATGAAATAATAATCTTTCACTAAATAGTCTCTGATACCTTTTATTCTGGATTATTGATGCAATCAACAAAATTAACATCATTAAATTCATTTTTTAACTAATAAGTCACATTATTAAGAGTAGTTGATACTAATGCCATTTAAGGAGATTAGCATTATTCATATACTTTTTTAATATCATCGAGGTTCTAATAATCTATCTACTTCATCCAATATGAAATATTTAACATTTTAAATATATTTCTAGAAATTAACATCAATGCTTAGTAATTCTGTACATCTTCCAGGTGTTCCAATTATTTTATGTGGGATTTATCCTAATTGCTTTACTTATTTTGAAGAGGAAAGACCTCCTATTAATAAAGCCAATCTCAAATTTACATTAGCACCAAATATTTATATTTATTCAGCTATTTATACTGCCAGTTCTCTACTTGCAGTCAATATAATTGCAAAAATCCAATATGGATCTTGACTTAATTTTTAAAGAATTGGAAATGAGAATGCAGCTGTTTTTCCAGTACCTGTTTAAGATACTCAATACATTCTTTCCTTATAATAAAGGAGGGATACTTAAAACTTAAATAGGTCTTGGTTCTTTATAATCAATCTTCCAAAATAATTTCAATAACCAATAATCTAATTCTAATTCTTCAAATTTTTTATATTCACCACTATTCATTTTTAATTACTATAATTTTTAATGATTAATAATCACCCTTGTACATTATAATCAGAATGTGTTTCACTCTATAATTGCATAGATGGAATATGCACTCATAAGAACTTCTTTCCTCCCACCTTTTCTGAATCAATAGGTATGCTTAGCATAGCCATTTTTACAGGATTTGCATCCCTAGCAGGTATAACAATGAATGACAACATAAATTAGGGATTGGAGGAGGTGGTGTCGTAGTTTCATTGATGACTATGTTTTTTAACTATTCATAGAAAGAAGCTTTGTTGGGAGTCTTTTTACCTATTTTTGGAGCTGCTTTAGGAAATTTCCTAAATCTCGCTTAGCAATTAGATCCGTAAACTAAAACTCCAGTTGTTAAAATGAGAAGTGCCATAGTAGCTTGTCCTGCAATGATAATAGGTAGTATGGTAGGGCTTATTCTTAATAAGATATTACCTGCATTCTTTTTAATATCTATTTTGCAATACTTTTTATTTCTTTCATGTTAAAAGTTTTATAAAACTGCTCTTAAGGAATGGAATAATGAAAATCAACGAAAATTAAATTAAAATTCAGTAGAAATACCTATACTTAATAAATTATCTGAAGAAAAATAATTACCTCTACAGAATACTTCATTAAAAGAGAATTTGGACCTTATTGTAGCTATCTGTGTCATTGTTATAACTGTTCTTTTAGGGTTTTTTCTTAGAGGATCTGCAAATTTTTAATCAATTATTGGAATATCTTATTGTGGATTCTTTTATTGGGTGATCACATTTGGTTTGGTTGTCATATTATATTATTATTTTGATTACATATTTGATAGATTTCAAAAAGAAGAGTTAAAACCATTAAAAAAAGAATGTTTAAGAGATTCATTTAAAGCTGGTATATTCAATGGATTTGGTTTAGGAGGTGGGATGATTTTGATACCTATGTATTTGGGAATGGGGTTTACAACAATTCAAAGTACAGGAACATCATCATTTAATGTTTTACTGAGTTCATTTTAAGTCGCAGCGCAAGTGATTATTTTAGGTTATATGGGGACTCTTTAAGCATTTTCCTTGTTTACAATGACTGTTATTGGATGCTATTTCTCAAGCTCATTCATTTTTAATAATTTAAAGAAAAGAGATAGATTATCATTGATTATGTGGGGATTAGTAGGGTTTGTTATTTTTGCAATGGTTAATTTGGCAATATAATTTCTTTAGAAGTGGTCTCATAATGGTTATTAAATATTTGAATTATTTGCATTCTAAAGTATTTGTTGAATATTTAATATACTATTTAATAATAATAATATATGAGTCTATAATTTTGAAAATCTAAATTCAATTAGTTTTTTATTATGATGTTAGTTATAATACATCATAATTATTCTAGATTTTTATTGATAAATTGATTAGAATAACTAAAAATTTAACAAAATAATAATTATATCAATAAAAATACAAATTGCTTATTTGAATACTAAAGTAGCATTTCTATAAATTATACTAATTCCTAATTTTTGAACAATTATTCTATTTGAAATTATATTTGGATCTTAAGGAAAAAACTTCGAATTAGATTGTTTATTTCATAAATCACCATCAATAAAATTTTATTAGATTAATAAAATCATCAGATGTTTGTGGTTCTTGCTAACATAATATAAGAAAAATTATAAAACAATAAAATGAAAAGATTGTTAATTAATTTTAGTTATTAAATAAAATTGTTTGAATTTTATTCAATTTTAGAAAGGTTACCTATTAATTAAATGTTATCTTACTATCCATAGAGATGTTATCTAAATTTAAAAGCTATTCAAAAAATTAATCATTAATTTGTATATATATCTAAATTTGCATATATTATAAATAGTTAATTATAAAATATGAACAGATTCTGTGATTATAAATCTTGTCAATACTTCATTAAATAACCTACAATAGAATAAAGATCTAAATTGAATAAGGTCATGTGTCCATTATGTATGGGTGCCAACTATTGTAGTACTAGATGTAGAGATCTTGATTGGTAAATTTTTATATGATATTAAAAAGGCCAATATATCATAAAGATATTTGCAAAAAGTCATAGCCAGATAGAGCACGATCTTGTAATGATACTATTGATTCTTGTTCAACAACAAGTGTGAGAAGAAAGCCAGAAGAGTTTGAAATTATAATGATTGGGAGTAAGTAAGAGTTAGGTAGAGGATCATATGGTTCAGTTAAATTAGTCAAAGACAAATAGAATGGCTTATTGTATGCAATGAAAATTGTAAGAATGTGATTAAAATTTGTAGATGAATAAGAGATAAGTTTTTGAATATTGTTCAGTAGAAAACCTGAAAAGGGAGATAAAAATACAACGTAAATTGGTTCATCCTCATATTTGCAAATTATATCATTATTTTGAAGATAAGGAAAATGTTTATTTGATACTTGAATATGCATGTATTATGTTTATTAAATAGAAAATGGATCTGTTTTTAATTACATAAAAAAACGATCAAAATTACCTGAAAATGAAGCATTTGTTTATTTCTTCTAAACATGTTTGGGCATAGATTATCTACATAAAAATAAGATTATCCATAGAGATTTAAAACCAGAAAATTTACTATTGGATCATGATGGTAATGTGAAAATATGTGATTTTGGTTGGAGTGCTGAAAGTTTAACAGAGAAAAGAATGACTTTTTGTGGAACATATGAATATATGGTATATTTATTTATTTAAATATCTAGGCACCTGAAATGTTAAATAAGCAACCACATGATTTCAGTTTAGATGTTTGGAGTTTGGGTATATTATTATATGAATTATTGCATGGAAATGCACCATATAGAGGAAAGAACAATGAAGAATTAGGAAATAAAATAAAATCTGGATAACCTATCAATTTTGCATCGACATTATCTAATGAAGTTATTACACTTATTAAAGGAATCTTAAAATATATTCCTGGAGAACGTTTAACAATGGCCTAAATTTTTGATCATCCATGGATGGTTAAACATGCTGCTAGTTATAAAATTGATATTTGGACTTTTGTTTATAAAACTTAATATCCAACAAGATAAATTCCAACTGCCAATTTCCAATAGAAATAAAAAACAATTGAGATTTAAAAAAAAGAAACATTATCTAGACCTATTTCATAAGATTACAATAAATTAAAAGAATAATCTATAAATAATAATAATACTATAGATTATAAGGCTTATTAGAATGAGTACAATAATATTAATAAATAAGAAGATTTTAATAAACCTAGAATTAGTAGAGTATCAAATAGAAATGAGATTATGATGCATCAACATTAATTATAATAATAATAATAAGAAGAGAAATTAACTTTTATGGACAGAGTGTTTCTAGCATTTGGATGTTTAAATAGAGAGAAAAAATGATTAATTTTTTAATACTTTATTTTATTTTAGTTAAAATAATTTAAAGTAACTAGAAAATGAGCAAAGTATATGAACTTTACATTCACTCACTTGTAAAACAATAACATAGTCCTATGATATCCACAATATCTAAATATGAACCATCAGGTTTCAAGGATGACAATAATCCATTGTGTATGGCCAATAAAGTTAGAGTTATGAGATACAGATCAGATAAATTATTATTATCAGATACCATTCTTTAAAATTATATTAACCTATTTAAATACAATAGATAATTATTTATACTATTTCTAAGATAATTAACATCACCTATATAGGAAGTTGAATTATAAGATTAATAATAGATAGAGAATATTATATAATAAATTGAATTAGATAGTATACTAATAGAATAATTGAATTTATGGTCTAATATCTTTCAACTCACTCATCAATAACTACAATCCTTGTTTTTATTTTAAAACATGAAAGATTATTTGAATTTCCTTTAAGATTTCTTATTAAACTAATTACAAAGGATAGAGAATATTGATTTATCTCATAATAATTTAAATGATGAGAGTGTTAAAATTGAATAAACTCAAATCATATAAGTAAATGATATGTATGAAAATCACTACAAACCAAGTAGTAAAAAAAAACTTGTATCTTTTACTCATAGAAATGAATTGAGTGAATCTGATTAAAATTAAATAATAAAGATAATTCAACAAAAGAAATTAGCTTCTATTAGAGATATTTTTAATACAATTATAAAATAATTTGATCTTAAGCCAAAAATATAATATACTGAATAAAATTTATAATGGATATGCTAAATTGATATCAAAGAAATTTAATCTAAATAAAGTTCTTAGAATAAAAGTTAATCTTTAGTATGCTCATAGATACATAGTATTAAATAATTGTGTCCAATTATATTTGATTATATAATTGAAAATTCAAATGAAAATATTGATTAAATAAAAAACAATAAGGGTATTTTAAATTTAGTAATACCTATATAAAAAATAAATAAATTAATACCAGAAGAAGTTTATTTACAATAATTACCATATCATTATGAAATGATTGAAAATTATATTGAGAATAAAAATAATAATGAAACATGTTCAATTAGAAAATTACAAAATGAAGTTATCAACTATTTAATAAAAAAATATAATTAATTTTCAATTAACAAATAATTGTAAAGTATAGCTTAGAATTATGAATTAAATATTACATTTATGTAAAATGGTTAATTGTAATCTATTAAAAAGTATGATTAATTATAAATTTTAGAACATTTACTACAAAATAACGATTCTGTAATGCTAGATTGATTGGATAATAATATATTATAAATGTTATTGGAAATTTGATTTTTGGGGATGAGAGATCAAAAGAATTTGATAATATTAATTAATTTTTGTTATAAATCTAATGAATGATGGAGATTAGTATGTTTTGAATAATAATTGATGTTTGGTGTATATAAGGAATATAATAATAAATAAAATGTAAATTAAATAAAATGTAATCCAAAGTTTGATTAACTAAAATAGTGCAATAGAAAATTTAGTATAAAAGGAAGGTTTGCAATTGATAGGTACAAGTCGATTTAATTTAGGTGATTAATCATATGGATAACTAAATGATTCAGAATATAATAAGAAGAAAACGTAAATCATTTTATTGAAAGACTAATAATACATTGATGCAGAATAATTAAAAAGATTAGAAGAACACAATGAGGATTAATTGAATTAGCAATAGAAATGGATTATTTTGTTATTATTTAAAATTATAAGACCAGAAGAACCGAAAAAGATTATATGGGATTTGATTGGAATGTCATTCATATTTATTTAAATGATAACAATCCCATTAATATTGACATTTAGTTTTGAAATATCAGGTGGTTTTGCTATATTTAATGATATAATGGACTACTATTTCTTAATTGACATTTTATTGTAATTTTAAACTGGTTATTATGAAGGGTATTTATGAGTATATATATAAATTTTTAGAGGTTATTTTGTAAGTTAGAGAAGGTAGATTGCATTAAATTACTTAAAATTATGGTTTTGGTTAGATTTAATATCATCATTTCCATATGATGATATGCTTTCATTATTTATAGATGAATCAAATTCATAATCATTGAAACGGAATACATAAATAATAAAGATTATGAGAATTGTTAGATTCATTAAGGTTATTAGATTAATGAGAGCTTTAAAATTAAAGAAAATAATAAATTAAATAGAAGATACTTTATTTTAAGATAAAACAATCATTTCAATAATATCTTTCTTTAAGATTTGTTTAATAATATTAAGTTTATCTCATTGGTTAGCATGTATATGGAATGCAATTAGATTTATTGAAGAAACAGATAATAATTGGTATACTTAATATGTGATTAATTTTGATTAAGAAAAGGATAATGATCCAGATTTTTGGTTTAATTAATACGTGGCAGGAATATATTTTAGGTATATTTGATGTTATAGAAGAAATAAAGCATAACTACAATGATTACTATTGGATATGGGGATATATCACCTAAGAATACTATAGAAAGATCATTTGGGATATTTGTAATGATATTAGCATCGGGAGTATTTGGTTATGTTATGAATTCTATTGTATTATTGTTTTAGAATATGAATGAATCATTAGAAGATCTATTGAATAAGAATACAGCTGCAATTAAGTAAATAAATCAATTTGAAGTAGATATATGAAATAAAAGGAAGTGAATAAGAAATTATAATCAAGAATAAAGAATTATTTAGAATGGTTAATAGAAGATGAATAATTATAAAAGAGTTATGCTCATGACACACTTGAAAAATTATCATTACCATTAAAAAATTAATTAACTTAAATTGTACATGGTAAAATGATGAATTAAATTAAATTTTTAAGTAAAAATTTTTCATCTTTGTTATTAAAAAATTTGGCTTTTACATTTTAAGAAGAAAGTATTATATATTATATATTATAATTTAGTTTATAATCCAGAAGATTGGATTATTAATTAAAATGATCCAATAAATGATTAAACATCTATATATTTTATATTGAATGGAAGAGTATCTGTTTGTTTTCCAAAATCTAAAGGTGTTATTGAATTAATAGAATTAAGTAAAAAATAATATTTTGGTGAAATATCATTTTTTGGTAATATTCCTAGATGTGCATCTGTAAAAGCTAGAAATTTTATCAATTTATTTAGATTATCAAGAAAATCATTTTTAGAATAATGTGAAATAGAAGATATTGAGAAATTCTTTTAATTAAAATTTAAAATAGAATTTGAATAGGATTATGAGGATTTAAATTTATTTTGTTATGTTTGTTAAGCTGCTAATCATACAGCTAAGAATTGTCCAAATGTACATTATGTTATAAATAAATATGATAGAATAACTATCATTGAGAAATATAATGAAGAAATTAAATTATTTATTAATGAAAGAAGAAGATAAAGAAAGAAATGTAATACTTTAAAATATTTAAATAATAAAAGAAATTAATAAGTAATTTAACAAATAACAGAAGAAGCATATCATATTGAAAAATATATTAATTTTCATTAGACTAAACCAAGTGTATTGACAATTAAAGATTCATTTAGAACTGATTCAATTAAAGAATATACTAATTTTACACCTAATTCTAATTTAAATTCTATTGCAAGATTATAAAATTATAATGCTGAATTATATGCAGAAAATGTTAGATAATAAAAAGAACTTATGAAGAAAAATAAATTGAAAAGTAAATTTGTATAACTTTTTTAAAATAAAAAAGAATAAAGATAATCATTAAGTAATTAATCAGGCAATAAATTTTCTAAATTAGTTATGAATTTAACTAAATTAAAAAAATAATAAGATTAATAATAATAATAAAATTAAGAATAAGAAAATAGTCAAATATAAATATCTAGATTATCATCTCCTTCTACTATTAAACCTAAATTATTAAGAGCTCCAACTATGGTAGCAAGAAAATTGAATGAAGGAAAAAACACAAGATTATAAAGATTACCAAGAAAAACTTATTTAGGATAAATTTGTGGATTTGAAAAACGTAATTAATAATTTATAGATATTATAATGGAAGATTCTATGGAATGTTCAGCTTAACCTTTAAAATAATCTAGTGTTATTAAAATTAAAAAAAAGAAAACAATAATCTTATAAAAATCAACAGAATCAACAATTATTGAATCAAATTAATTTCCTGATGTTTATTTTCATAAATAACTAAAAAGAAGTTAATCTTCTGAATAATTATAATCAAATTCAGATTTAGAAAAATACTCTAAATTATTTCTCGAAGATATGATATATTTGGTGGTTAATTATAAATTGTAAAATTGCAAATGATAAAATATATGTGTGTCAAGTTTTTTTTACTTATTTGACTTTCATTTAAGCCACATGTAAAGTAACAGATTTTTTGTTGATATTATCTTACAATCTAGATTTTGGTCTAGAATAAAGGGTTGCCAATTCCTATATTTTCTCAAGAGATGAATATTATTTCTCATCTATAGATTATTTAGAACTTATAGTATATATATAATATATATACTTTGTTTAACCATCTTAATATTCAGTAACCAATCTATTTTTTCTAGTATTTGATTTAAGACACATAGATTATTTTTATTAATTGAAATTCATAAAATTGTTATTAAATGTATTTGATCTAGGTTTAATATCTAATAATATTGTTTATTTCTATTAATCTAATAATATTTTATCAATCATTGATTAAGTTTTTTATTATAATTACTGATTCTTTTAATATTTGTTATCTTCTAGATCTTTCTTTAATTACATAATCTCTTTTTGATAACTCTAATTATTTTACAAATATCAATATCATACCAACATTTAAGCTTTATGATCTTTCTCTATATTTAATTATTATTCATATAGTTCTTGAATATTTTCACAATGAATTTTAAGTCTCTGTTCTGTCTAAAGTAATTTTAGTTTTTGATACCCTTATATGAGATCTACACTCTCCTTCATACTTTTATAACTATTCTTCTAATTATGCATATTAAGTTTGTATTTCTTATAGAATTCTTATAAATAGGATATATTTATATATTTACCCAAATAAATCATTAAGGACTAATATCATTATTTGAATTCCATTTAAAGCAGTGTTTGGTTATTGAATTGTTATTTTTGATTATCCTAATTCTTTTAACTGATTTATAAGTTTTGGAAAGTAATTAGTAATCTATAGAAATGATATTAATAATATTATTACTTCTTATTAGATTTCATCTAATGAGTTCATGAATATAATATATATATATATTATTGTTATTATTATTCTTAATATCAATTTCCAATAAATTTAGTTTATTCTCTGGGTGGTTTTTCGTTTCTTTAATGTTTCAAAGCAGGATGTGGTTATCTAAGCAATTCAAATGTGCTATCATCTTATGTCTTTTCCCAAGGTTTATAATATCTATAAGATTATAAAAAGTGAGTATACTTCATTTGATCAACTAAATCAACTTCTTTGGCAAGTTATTAAATAAGGAATTCAATTTATTCAAAACCAAATTCCTCTTCAAGTTATCTAATATCCTCTATTTCATCTGTAATTCGCATAATATATTTTAGTTTCTCTTCAGTGTATATTCTGTAAAGAACACCTTCAGGGATTTCTGCCTTTAATTTATCAAGTATTGTGTAGCATAATTTCATGATTTTAGCTCTTGGCATAGGCTCAACATCAAGGAAACTGTATCCAGTAGTTAATTTGATTTTTGATGATGGTACCTCATACTTCTTGGCTTCATAAGGTCTTAAATAAACAGGAATTGGATTTGATTGAGTTGCTGATGTTTAATTACCAGAGGCTACATTGGATGATCCTAGTGTTGTGGCAAATCTGAATCGTGGCATCCATTTATATAGTGTGTGAATCATTTATATTTAATAAATAATAATAAAATGAGTGTTCATAGAAAAATATTGGAAAAGAATGGTAGATTAGATAACTTACAATAATAATAATTATAACAACCTTAATATGAGCTTGGAAAATAATATACAGATTAATAAGATTCTGAAGTTCTAAAAAATTTGGAAGCATGCCAACAATACAATTCAATAAATAGCATAAGAAGCACATCAAGAGTATTTCCAAGAACTAAAGAAATATATATGGATGCAAAAATTCCATTCACAGTGATTATATAACCTTATGGCTTATCCATAGAATAAGGATTTCCTACTGTAAATTATGGTAGCAATCCAATTTTGAGATGTCAGAATTGTAGAGCATATATAAATCCTTTTATGGAATAACTTAAAGATGAGGAATATATGAGATGCAATATTTGCACATGCATAATTAAAATACCTTAAAACTTTATTAAACCTATTGATTTAGAGAAGAGACCTGATTTGACTACTGGATCATATGATATTAAGGCAGGATAAGAGTATTAAATGAGACCACCGATGGCACCTGCATATTTTTTTATGATTGACGTGTCATAGAAAAGTAAAGAAATTCTAGGAATTATGGGATAGATAATTAAGGATATGATTTTGTAAGATAAATTTAATGAAAGAACATTATTTGGTTTTATTACATTTGATACTAGTATACATTTGTACAATTTTAATTCTTAACTTAAATAAGTATAAATGTATGTGTTAACAGATGACAATGAAATGCCAACACCAGGAGATTACTTATTTAATTTATAAGATTCTAAAGATATAATAGTTGCCTTTTTAAGTTAATTAGATCGTTTCTTTCCTAAACCATAATTAAAAAGTACTTAATTTATATCAGCATTTAATTTGGTTTCAAAGATCATGTAAGATAATGGTGGTAAATTAATTATCTTAACATCTTATCAAATAAAAGAATTAAATATTACTGAGAATTCTAAATCTCCTTAGAATCACTTTTAACCTACTAATAATAAATTAAAATAAATTACTGAAAAAATGCATTTAAATTATATTTGTCCTTCAATATTTGTTATTCCTTGTGGATTTAATAATGTTGGTACATTAAATTAATTAGTCAAATTTTTGAATGGTGATATTTTTTTTTATGATGATCCTAATATTTATAGTAAATATTCTTATTATTTTAAGCTTAAAAATTTTATTATGATTTTCGTTCAGTTTTAGAAAGAGATTATACTTGGGAATCAGTATTCAGAATACGATTATCAATAGGATGGAAAATTAAAAGTGTGTATGGTAATTATTCAATTAAAAATGCAGATTTATTGAATGTTAACTGCACAGAAGAGTAAGTGTTTTATGATTATAGAATAGTCAAAAAGTATTAATGTATGAATTAGAATTGAATTAACCTAGAGCTCCTTATGATAATTTATATATATAAACTGCTCTACTATACACTTCAAATAAAGGAGAAAGAAGAATACGTGTTCATAATATTTGTATTCCAATTAGTAATTCTATTAAGACAATTTATTCTCAAATTGATTAATCATGTTTAGTAATTTCATTATTTAAGATTGCTCTTTCTTAATTAAATATTGCAAAAGATATAAAAGATTTTATTCAAACTAAAGAATTCTTAATTGCTGCAACTAGATCTATATCTAATAATTGTAAGATTTTTAAAGAACCACTTGATTCATTGCATTCTTATATGTTAGGAATTATGAAATCTTCAATACTCAATTATACATATGATCAATAGTCAGTTCTAACAGATTAAATGAATTACTTTAGATCAATTTTTTAATATTTAAATGTAGATGATTTAGTTACTTATATTGTACCATAATTATATAATATTTCAAATTTGCAAGAATATGAATGTATTTATGATGATAGTGGATATTTCATATATCCATAACAAATATCTTTGGTTTTAGAGGATGTTTCAAATGGTGGATTATTGCTTATGGATTGTGGTTATTGTTTGATATTATTTATATGCAAGTATAGAATCTTTAATTATTAGAATACATGATGAAAATCAAATGGCTGATATATTTGGGAAATAATATTATAATATTAATTTAATAGAAGACAATCTCTATTCCAATTCTAAAAATCCTATAAATAATAAACTACATTATTTAATTACAGAATTGAGAAAGTAAATATATAATATTATTATTTATGTTTAGCAATAAATATACTAAATATGCACCATTGTATATAGTTAAATAAGGATGTAAAAATTATTGGGAAGAGGTCTTTTTTTAAAACTTAATTTATGATGATTTTAATAAGAGTTATAGAATGGGATATAATCAATTTGTATAATATATTGGTTGATATTATTAATATATTTATATATATATATATATATAATAATTATATACAATGAAGAAAAACAGATTCCAGCAATAAAAGGAAGAGTAGAAGAAACAAAATTATTTTGATGAAGAGGAAGATATAGATTTAGAAGATGATGGTCTATTTGGAAAAGAAGTATTAACTGCATGTAATCATTATTTATTTATTATCAGCTAAACCCTATGAAGAATACTTCTAAAAGTTTAATGAATTATATAATAATCACATTGTTAATTTTTCAGCATTTGAAGAAGATTATCAAATCCCATTGACATAACCTGATTATGAAAGCATAATTCAGAGTCATTTCATGGTTTATGAAAAGAACATGGGATTGTTTGATTTTATGAAGTCAGACAACAAAGTTTTTGATAAGATTAGTGCATCCTTTGTATTCATTGATAATTAAATCAGATAAATAGAAGATCAAGTATTTTTATAAATATTATTCTATAGTTCTATAAATTCCTTGATAAATTAACTATTTATGGAGAATTGGCAGATCTTCATTTAGAAGAAGAGAGAAAATTAACTGATGGAGAAGCTGAAATCATGATTTGTAGAATGCTTGGTTAATTTAAGTAAATATATGACATAATTAAAAAACTCATCAATTACATCACCCATTTAGTTAATCAATTGAATTTACTTTACAATAAAAAAGATCCAATTTCTAAAATAATTAAAATATTTAACTTAAATTTTCCATTAGATACAATAGGAAGAGCATTGCAACTTATTTATGTCTTAGATAATGTTGTAGAATAGAATGATTATTTATAAGAACATTGGAATTATTGTAAGAGAATGTTAAAAATTGTCAAACCAGATCCTACTAAATTTAATTCTAATGCTTAAAATGTTAAACAATTAGAAAAAATTATGATCAGATTAGATAAAACAGTATTATCTGGTTCTTGTCTCTAATCAGTTTTAGCATAAAATTGGGATTAAAATGTTCATGAAAAAACAGGTAAAGAGAAAAATGCAAACATACCTGCAATTAAAAATAATAAAGAATTCTTTAATGTACTAAATACATATCTCAAAGAAAGATATGAATTATTTGATAAAACATTAGGAACTGCTAAAGAAATGTTTGAAAGAGATTTATTATTACCTACATTTTGTGTTTATGCACTTGTTAGATAATTATATCAAAATGATGAAAATAGAGATCTATGGAAGAATCTTTGGTCTCTATAAAAGAAAGTTCCAATGGTTGATGGACATTCATAAGTTTTATGTTATTTAAGTAAATTCCTTATGGAAGTCACTCCATTAACAAAAAAGAGTCAAACTATGGATCCAAAAGATCCTATTGTCAATTTTAAAAATTATTTATAAAGATTATCAGGTTCATTTTAAAGTTCATTAACTGCTTAATATGTTGCATTCACTACTTGGATAGTTAGGGTTGACTCATTTTCATGTAGTTAAGCTTCATTTAATAATATTGATAAAATTGATAGAGAAAGAGCATAGAAATATATAGAAGAGAGAATGAATTAGAGAGTAATTTTAGTATTGTAAGGATTAACAATTGCATCTTAAACAAGAAATCTATTATAAGCATTATTATTAGGACATTTTGGATTAGAAGAATAATCATTAGATACATCATTATCAAAAGATGTTGTTTTAGCAGTTGAAATGTTAAAAGCAATAGAATATTATTTTGAATAAAAATATGATGTATTCTAACCTGCTTTAATATAAAATCATATTACTAAAAATGGATAAAGAATTATTTAATAAGTATTAGAGAAGATGAAGGCAAATTTAAAGAGTTTTGGTACTGGAGGTGCTGAAATATTAGGAGCATTATAAATATTAAATTCTATTCTTAAGAGTACACTATCACCTTTGAAATTGTAGACTATGTATTTTTTAATGGATTTTATGGTTGCAAAAGATATATTCACAAATTAAGAAAAAGAAGATTTTAGAAATATTCTTTGGAAACTTGATAAATTAATTTTA